ACAACGCCTGGCTATTTTCTGGTTGCAGCTGTCATTGTTGTTTGGTAGGCCCGGGCTGGATTCGAACCCGCCACCTTAGGTGTATGTGGCTGGTGCCTTAGCCGTTTGAACCATAGGTGCTGAGCCTATTCACTATGATTTTTGAATAAAAAACTTTTTTATAATTAATAGGTATTGGATACATAAAAGAAGATGGTATTTTATTTTATTTATTTTTTTTGTAGAGACAGAGTCTCATTTTGTTGCCCTTGGTAGAGTGCTGTGGCGTCACACAGCTCACAGCAACCTCCAACTCCTGGGTTAAGTAATTCTCTTGCCTCAGCCTCCTGAGTAGCTGGGACTATAGGCACCCGCTACAATGCCTGGCTATTTTTTGGTTGCAGTTTGGTTGGGGCTGAGTTTGAACCCGCTACCCTTGTTATATGGGCCTGGCGCCCTACTCACTGAGCCACAAGTGCCATCCAATGATGGTGTTTTAAAGAAAAAAACCCCTGGGCTTTAAAAAATTCTTTTTGTATAGGCTGGGTGCAATGGCTCATGCCTATAATCCTAGCACTCTGAGAGCTGAGGTGGGTAGAATGCTTGAGTTCAGAAGTTCAATCAGCAGCAAGAGCTAGACCTTGTTTGTAAAAATTAGCTGGGCATTGTGGCAGTCACCTGAGTCCCAGCTACTGAGACAAGAGGATCTCTTGAGCCCAAGAGTTTGAGGTCGCTGTGACTTATGATGGCATGGCACTGTACCCAGGGTGATAAAGTTAAGATGCTGCCTAAAACAAACAAACAAACAACCCCCTCCCCCCAATTAAATACAATAAAATAAAAATGGGAAAATTAGCCGGGCTTTGTAGTGGGCACCTACAGTCCCAGCTACTTGGGAGACTGACGCAAAGAGAATCACTTGAGCCCAGGACTTTGAAGTTGGTGTGAGCTATGATGCCACAGCACTCTACCCAGGGCACAAAGTGAGATTCTGTCTCAAAAAAAAAAATTATTTTGTGATTTATCTAAAACAAAGCAAACAAACAGAAAAACCCCTACCAACATCCAGGATTATATCCTATGGGTAGAAGAAATTCAGAACGGGTAACTGTAAAGGACTGTGGTTTCAACCATTTTTATTTTGGGGAAGAATTTTATTTCATTTTAATTAGTAACTTAAGCTCCATAAGATCAATAGCAACATGATTTCACTTGACACCAATATAACATCAATCTTACACAGAAATTGTACATGATTTTGTAGTAACTTTATACCTTATTCAACTACATGATAAACAAAGACTTTTCCTCAAGTTCACTAGGGGCAACATGTCACAATATGTGAAGAAAAATATAATAACAGATAAGAGAGGTAGATTTTCCTATCAAGGCCATTTAAAAAAAATCCAGATTAATACAGGGGCACATATGATTCAGTTACATGGTTTTCTTTTGTAATGTTCAAGTACTAATTGTAGGTATGTCCTTCACCCAGGACATGTACAATATATCTGTGCAAGGTACTCTAAACTATCTTTTTTTATGTTAAAAATATGAAACTTGGCCAGGTGCAGTGGCTCACACCCGTAATCCCAGCACTATGAGAGGCTGAAGTGGGAAGAATCACTTGAGCTCAGGAGTTTTGAGATTAGCCTGAGCAAGAGTAAGACCCTATCTCTACCAAAAATAGAAAAAAATTAGCTGGGTGTTGTAGTTGGTACCTGTAGTTCCACTTACACAGGAGGCTAAAGCAGGACTGCCTGAACCCAGGAGTCTGAGGCTGCTGTGAGCTAGGCTGACACTATGGTACTCTGGCAACAGAGTTAGACTCTGCCTTAAAAAAAAAAAAATACACACACACAAAGAGATAAAGAGAAAATGCTTATTATAGACATTTACAATTTTTAAACAAATACAATTTCTCTATTTTAAATGCCCACTCAAACATTATACACACCAGCCTGTGGAGATTTAGAATTGGGATTAAATCCCAACACTGAGACCAGCTTGCATCTCTGCCCTGGATTCTGCCAATCTCCCAAGTCTCTACCCAAAGACAAACAAAGGGCCATCTGGAACTACGAGGCAGCTGGGGGGAAGCTCATCCAAATAATAAGACCCATGAATTCTTGGGTCACTGCTAATATAAACTCTATTTGGTTAAATGATAGGCTTATTTATCTAAGGTAGCTCCACCTATTCACAGTTGTGCAATAATAGAAATAACACATTATGAAGTAAATAGCAAAGACTTAACCAAATCCCCAAAGGTTTCATTTTAATCTAACTATAGACAACA